TTGGGATAGGTTAGGTGATGCTATAGACCAGGGGTATCAAACTCATTTGAGTGCGGGGGCCAGATATTCAACCCCCGAAAGGTCGAGGGCCAATTGAAGGCGGCGGCGGCGGCGGCGGCGGTGGCGGCGGCGGCGGCAGCGGGAGGGGTAATGGAGGAGGAACTTTACGGTCTTGCTTGTCACATCTGTAGGATTTATTCGTTTTAGGGGCTACTTTAGGCCCTTACCTGATATGATAACAAGAATTAAAATGACTCTGCGTCGCCACCATGCTGCAATTTTTTATAGAACAAAATAGTAAGCACCCGTAGTTCACGTTGCTAAATTCATCGGGAATTATTCAAAATCAAGATTTTTCTATACGACAGTTTTTGCTTTCCTAGTGATTTTCATAGAAGCAGTTTGATAAAATACTTGTATTTTTTATGGTCGTGTGCCTGAAGGGCGAGAACTCTAAGCTTTTAGCTTTATCTTCGGCAATCACTGCTGGTGAGCGAGAATTCTTGCAGCTGAAGTGACAAAAAGCTGGGGAGCAAAAATTAAAACAAAACAATGTTGTAGCATTTTAAGAGCAGAGCTACGCATTCTAGCGAACCCAGGGTAGTCCTTGTTGTCGGGCTCCGCCGGAGCTAGGTACCGACCAGGACATCAGGAAGATGGACCTCGGAAGCCGGGTTACTTTTCGATAGACGCTTAATTTACATTTGTACAGTTGGTTCAAGACCAGAGAAGAGAAGACATTTGCTTGTCAAAGTTCGCTCATCTTAAACACTTGGTTCTCCCTAGGTCCCTAGGTAGGGACCCCCACATCGGAGGATAGTCGGCCAATTACAGAAAGGTGTCCAGTTCAAACACCGCCCCACATTCCATGATCACGCACACTCAGCCGCTGTAAACACTTCACAGTCGATCTAGACGGCGCCGAGAGTCTCACCAAAACACCGGCTCGTTGGAATTCACGCAGCTGGTCAAAACACCGTCCGAGGCCGAGACGTGACGTGCCGCCTTTTGACCCTTCGTGTCTACGCGTTGAATGAAGGCGTCCGGATGATCTCATCAGCCCGGGTCGTGCCCTAGTGTTTCGGCGGTGAAACCTGAGACGTTGTTTTCTCCTTTTCGGAGGCTGTATCCAGACTTGTACACGGTAAAGTCTGGATATATCACGGCGCCGTCTTGTGCGTTCGCTGGGCAGGCGTGCTTCCGAAGCGATGATGGTGCCAGGCTCGCTGAGTCAGATGACCTTGAGCCCGTGGGAGGCTTTCGACGAAGACAAACGGCCCGATGCAGACATTAGGAAATGGTCCGGGGTCAATCCATAACACCGTTCATTACAGCTCTTCCACGCACGGGAAGATCTCTGAAGGGGGGGAGTAACCGCTTCACGCCTGAAGAGATCAGCATTCTAGCGGCAAGAAGAAGCTTCACACATAGTAGACCCCGGCCGAAACAAACAAAACCAGCAAGTGTCCACACTGCAGCCTCTGAAGCCGCCAGGCCTTCCTATCTTTTCCATATTCCAGCTAAAATAACCCTGAAAGTGTGCCACGAAGCCTCAACGCAAGACTAAAGTCGGTTCCATTCTCGACGCATCTTAAATATAGCCAGATTTAAACAATATGCGTACAACAAACAAACATTATTCGCCTACACGTAAAATAGTAACCCGTGAAATGCATAGGAAAATCAAGCAACACGAGTCTAAAAAGACCTACTCAGGCCATCTACATTTCCGTTAGACTTTCCTTTCTTGTATTTTACAGTGAAATTCAGCTGCTGCAGAGCAAGGCTCCACCGCAGAAGCCGAGCATTTTTGGATGACATCTGAGTCAGCCAAGTCAGCGGGCAGTGATCGGTAACGCAGACGAACGGGGCTCCATACAGGTAGCAGGATAGCTTTTGGGTCGCCCAAATCAGGCACGCGCATTCTTTTTCGGAGGCGCTAAACGCCTCTTCTCGCGTACTGAGCTTTCTGCTAGCGTTGAGCACGGGGTGTTCTCCCCCGCGGTTATCCTCCTGGCAAAGAATGACGCCTAAAGGCTCTGTTATACTCCGACGTAACGCGCGCGCAAGCGAACACTGGCCGAAGTCGGCTACGTCACGTCAGTCACGCCGGGCGCGTCAAAAATTCGCTCTCTCTATACTCCGGCGGCCCTGGCGGCTCCCGCGGCGCGCGTCGGTGGGCCGCCCGCGCGGCGCATGCGCAGAATGTGACTACGAGGGTACTATTCCTGCGAGAGTGCGCCACTTCCGGTTCCTTTTCGTTTCGAATGGCAGACGCAACCCTACGAAAACTCTCGCGCTTCTTGAGCGCCAAGTTCGAGCGATGGCGTGGACGTACCTTGCACGACGAAAACTAGCGCTTGCACTGTTGATGCACCATCTGCGCCGTAAGCGTAGGCGGTCAATGTGCATACAGTACATCTTTGACAAGCGCCCGGCCTACGGTACTCAAGCTTCCTCGTGTCGTAGACACACGGGTGAGGACGAATTCCCTCGATCAGCTTCTCGACGACCGAGTCCGATTCTTCAAACATGACGCCACACGGGGTGGTGCTCCTGTCGTCTGCTATTGCTCGTATTCGCCGCGCTTCCCGCGCGAGGGATGCCGGGAGCCAGCGCGTGATGCATCCTGGTCCGGCGTCGCCGGCGCGGCCGGCGCGGAATACCGCATGCTCCATTTTGGCGTCGAAGCAGCCAGGCTGCGTCGAACGCCGCCGGTCGCGTCGGTTACGCCATGACGCCGGAGTATAAAGCGTCGGGTTTTCGCCGACGTGACGTCGCTGTGACGCGCTCGCACGCGCGCACGCGTTACGTCGGAGTATAACAGAGCCTTAACCCGCGATTACTCGCATCGCACTGTACAATAAAGGGACGGTTATAATCTGGCGTGCGCATCACAGGAGCGCTGCACAAAGCAGCCTTCAACCCGCGGAAGGCCCGCTCCATTTCCTCCGTCCAGGCGACCTTCTCGGGCGCGCCCTTCCTCAGAGCGTCCGTTAAAGGGCTAGCCATCTCGGCAAACCGCGGAATATAACGCTGATAATAACCTGTCAAACCGAGGAAGGCCCGAGTGCCTGTTTTTTTGACGGGTTGCGGAAATTCATTTACCGCCTCAACTTTCAGCCCATCTGGCCTGCGCCGGCCCTGGCCCACCACATGCACCAGGTAACGCACTTCCTCTTTCGCCAGCTGGCACCTTTTGGGTTTTACAGTTAGTCCGACCTCACGCAATCGACTGAACACATCCCTAAGGTGTCTGAGGTGGTCTTCCCAAGTGGCTGAGAAGATAGCCACGTCGTCTAGATACGGGAGGGCGTATGTTTCAGCGCCCCTCAACACTCGGTCCATTAATCTCGAAAAGCAAAAGGGCGCGTTTTTTAGACCGAAACTCAACACAGTCGGGCGAAACGTTCCAGAAGGAGTTACAAAAGCGGCATACTGGCTCGCCCTCTCGGTCATTGGGACCTGCCAGTACCCTCTAACATGGTCCAGGATCGAGACGAACTGAGCCCACTTACTCGTTCCACCCTCTCCTCGATGTGGGGAGTCGGGTACACTTGATCTTTAGTGATCGCCTTAAGTTTGCGATAATCGACACAGGGTCGGGGGTCCTTTCCGGGGGCCTCTACGAGGGTCATGGGCGAGATATACTCGCTCTCGCAAGGGACGATGACCCCCAACTTTAACATCCACTCGATCTCAGTCCTTAGGATATCTTGCTGTCGTGGAGCCATGCGGTAAGGTCGGCATCCGATTGGAACACCAGATGTGAGCTCTATGTCATGCGTCACCACCGAGGTCTTCCGCGGAATCTCTGAAAATAGTCACTCAAACTCTCCTAACAGTTGCCTCAGGTCCGCCACCTGAGACGCCGTCAATTGGTCGGGCTGTACCGCGAGCGCCATTATCTCATCAACTCCGAAAGACCCGTCCGAAGGTTCTCCGAATTGCGGAACTTCCAGCTCACCCTCGTCGGACCCATTCAGCGCAATGTTGACCAACTGAGGGCTACTCACGTACAGCTTCATGAAGTTGCAGTGATAAATCTGAATGGATTTTCGTTTACCTGTTCTTTCAATAGCATAGTTGGTATCCGAAAGCTTTTGGGACACCCGAAAAAGCCCTTCCCACTGCACCTCCAATTTGTTGGCCCTCGAGGGGCGTAGTAACAACACTGCATCTCCCTCGGAGTACTGCAGAAAGCGAGCGTTTTTATCGCGGGCCGCGTGTTTGAGACCCCTGCTATAACGGTTTAAGCACGCGCCGTATTGAACCGCCATTGTCGACCTTTCTTTATCTTACTGAGATGCCGAGCCACTGAAGCCGGCGTTGACAAGCCTCCCCAAAAGCCTGTGCTTTTGGGGAGGCCCTAAAGTGGCAATAACCTGTCCTGCTCTAACAATGATGAAGTAAAGCGAACGGAAAAAGAGGAAACAAGAACTGAAGGTCGGTTATGGCGGCGCCCATGCACAGCTGCCTGAAAACGTCTATAGACGATTGGCAAGACCACTGACCGCTGCCATGTTTCTGCTCGTGCGGACAAGCTTGCAAAAGCCATGTTCACGCGCAAGCTGCACGTGTTTGCACGTATGTGGGGCACTAGTCGGGGCGCCATGCTTGCAATGGTCTATACACTGTATCATTTGAAGTGCGAGCGAAGCCAAAGCTGTGAAGCGCGTGCATGTGGACCTGAAGCATGGTTGCAGTGCACAAGCGCGCGTGCTTGGCAGGGACGCTGAAAGCCTGGAGCCCGCTCTTGTAGCGTTTGCCACGCTCAAATTTAAGGTGAAACGGAGTATAGACTGATTTTCATTGCTGTCACACATTGGTCACACTGGCTGCGAGGAAAGAAAAAACAGTCATCGTCAAAACAAGACACAAACGTCTACGGTTTTTTTTTTTAGTTGCACTTGCGTTGCACTAGGTTGTTCTCTCATTACTTCGTATTAATTCATTATATGTGTTTGCACTGCGTTTCAGCCTCTTCACAGAACGAGAGAAAGCCCCGTCTGGAGAGAACGGTTGATAAAGCCAGAAAGCCGTGGGAAAAGCGCTGTAATCCCTTGCGACTTTGATGACTTCGGAAACACAGCCAGACTCTGCCGTACAGGCAAACCGGTACGCACAGTTTTTTTGTGCCAATTGTCTCTGTCTAAAATCATCTATGGCGGCTTGCACTCTCCGCTCTTCCGCAGTGCGCACGGTCAACGCCCCTTATAGTCGGTGACAGGTCAGAACTGCAGGGGAAACTCTTTCCACCTTCTTCCTCTTTAGCAGAGCGAACGCTGGAAGGGTGGCGACCTCGTCTCCATCGTACCCTCTGATAGAGTGGAAAGGCCTGGGAGGAGTTTCCCCTGAACTCCTAACTGGTCACTGACTATAGATACTAAGGACACAGTGCCACGATAATGACGCTGGCATTCGCCCGTACTTGTTGCCGGAACTTATACGGCCAACTGCCAGGATCGCGACATCCGACAACATGACGCCGGCTGCCGTGCCGTCTTTTATTGCTACTCCGGGACAACTTTCGATGTACGGGCTGGGTTGAACTGTAAACTCACCTGGGAAAGGTGGGTTTCAGGCATCGTTATTTAGGTGAACACAAACTAGCGTTTACAGCAATGATACACACAAAAAATGTTACACCCTTAAGGGTGCAAATAGGGTCTTTCAAAGATTTAAGCCCATGACTACGCTCTTTTAGCACATGTTAAGTAATATACATTTTTGATCGTAAATTTAGAGATCTGTATCTTGGATATCCTCCAACCCTCAATTTTTGAAAGGTGCAGAAAGGTTGTGGAACGATGCAGTGGTAAAGTGAGAACATCCTTCATTGTTTGAAGGATGACACCATGCAGCTTCAAAAAGCTTGTTTTAGGAACTATGATGATTAATTACTGCCTTTACCAGTGCCCATTACCTGAAGATATATCGATTGAACTTAGCTTCTTGTGAGGATAATATGGACAGCTCCGGGACAGATTAATTAAGCGACTGCTATTAGGAAAATCCGAGGTGAGATGCTCACACCAGAGGGGATCAGAGAAAGAGGAAGTGACAAAGTAAAAAGTCAAATTTGTCGTTAGTTGTTTATACAACAGGAGGTTAATCTGCCAGAACATGGCGATATTGTTACCCACTGTAGATAAGCATTTTAGCCAGTGCAGTACGACTGCTAGCCTGGGGCTTTAACGTACACCACACAGTCGTGGTACACGACCGCACGCCGATATGATGCTCATCCAGGTCGAAACGGGCAGGAGTGGGGATTGAGCCCAGGATCCCTTGGTTCTGCAGCGCGAGCTTTCGCTCCACGTGCTCCGAGCTGCTGTGCGCAAGCCCACTCGGCCACCGATCCCCCAAAGAGGAAGTGAATATAGAACAACTGAGAAGAACAGTGATGATGGGCATGATGAGGATGAAGTCGATTTTGACCCTGAGCACCCCCACAGTATAAGTTTATACGTGGAGTAGCGACGACAACAAATCAACATACCTACAGCCTTCATAAGTCAAAGACACCTGCGAATGACGGAGGAGCTATCACAGGGTCGTAATTCCTCTAGCTGTCACGTGTGATTCTTTATGCCTGTGCTTGCGATTTAGGCGAACGAGATAACTGCATATGGCACTTTTTCCGCTTGTAAACTTGCTGCTCGTAAAGAAATATCCCCAGAGTGTTGTTAAGATCGCCAATTTACTGTTATAGGGCTTTCAGCAGTGTTCTAATGATGTTTCTGTACTCTTAGGTGTTACAGAAACACTTGTGTGTTAGGTAAAATACTCTTAAATGATACAAGTGATTTTTAACCCTCCTAGGTGTTACAAAAGGGTGATCCAAGCTTGTCCTGTAGCACCCAAGGGTGTTTGTTACAAAACCCTTGGGGCTTGAAGGCCTGAGGACAAGCGCATATTCCCAATCTTAAGAGGGCACTGACACGCCAAAGGTTGTTTTGCTTTAGTCGTCATGAATGATGCAATTTGCAGTCATAGACACGCAAAAAAAAAAAAAATTACCACGGGCTTGCGATGTTTTGTTTTTGGGGGTTTTCTCTCCCGCTCCTCACCTCCTCGCTATTTTCTAATTCATGACGTAATCAATTATTAAGTATAGAATCTTTGTAAGCAACATTTCTATAATATTTAACAATGGAATTCATAAAACATCTTTTTTTAACGCAACTGCGTACGCACTACGGCTCTTCTTATTGAAATACCGAAAATCGGAGTCCGGAGTGATTTCCCCTTCCTGGCTTTCTATCCTCCGAAAAACATGGCGGCGGTCGACGCATGTAGCTCTGAGGATGATCGGCGAGTCGGAGAATTGGACGAAGTTCTCTTTTTTAGGGGCTTGACGACCTCTCAGACTTTGAAAAGGAAGTCATAAAACGGTCAAAACAACGGGGTTTGATGTGTGTGCACCGTAGTTTCGGTTGTGACTTCGCCGAGGCAGCCTTTCACGCAGAACTGGCGCGCCGTGGCCCTTCACGTCGCTCACAAAAGTCCTCTGCGCGATCTTTTCGACCTCTATGCAAAGAATTTGGGATCGCTGAAGGAGCCCTAAAAGAACTTCGAATTCGAAAGTGAAGCGTCGTCTGCTCGCAGCGATAGGCGGCACGCACGGACAGGGGCGGATCCAGGGGGGCGACGGGGGCGGCCCCCCCCCCCCCCCCTTCCGCCTTCTCGGAGGGTAATTTGACACAAGTAAACCCCCGACCCCGCCCCCCCCCCCCCCACCCCCTCCACCGGAATAAAACCGATTACCGGCCTGCCAGGTGGTACAAGGCTCGGTACTCAAGGACTAGGGTTCAAAATAGGTTAGGTCGCACCCTAGCAGGCACACTTGTGCTCTGAACGTGGAGAACCACTCCGTCAAATGGGAGAATAGCACCCTTACAAACTCCCCACCCCCTCACCCAAAACGGAGCTCTGGATCCGCCCCTGCGCACGGAGCGGTTGATTGCGGGACGCGGGCGAACACGACACGCAGGCAAGACAAAAACTCGAGTTGCAGGACGACTCAATCTTTGGCGTCACTGCACTGGCGCGGATCGCGCGAGAACTTGAAATTCGGCTTTTGGAATTTTCGTTTACTTCACAAATATTGAGTTCGCAAGTTTTAAATTTTTCTGGTAATGTCCAGCATCGTTTTGAATCGTTTCAAATAAGAAAAAAAAAATATATGCTTTTCATCTCTCAGTGCCACTTTGGGGTTGTCAGCATTTTCGGTGTGAGCGACTCTTCGTGCTGTTAATTTAATGATTATTTTAATATGCTCTAATTTTGTTTTCTAGTCTAACCCAATGGGCAAGTGCATTCGAAGCCTCTTGGAAACGAATCCAGATGTAAGTACGGAAGCACCTGACTCCATCATGACGTTCTTGGGGTTGGGAATGGGTGACCATCGCCAGACCACGTCGTTCTATTCTTCGCTGAGTTCAGATATTTATGTGCTCATTACTAAGTTTACAACGTATTTTGACTACAAATTACAAGTTTTAAATAATATAACTGATTACTTTCAGGACATTGTATTATTAAAAAAAGTTGTTGAGTGGTCAGTTCACTTGTCTTCCCTGTGCAAGTTGCAAGCGTTCGCGTAACGTCGCTATTTCGTGGCGTCAATAATTTGTTATAATCAAGTATTGTTGTTAGACCCGAAGTAAGAAATCCATAGCAGGCTTTTGTTTTATGAAAATACGATTAAATACCTTATTTTAACGAGTCCTGTAAGTACCATAGACTCGCCACTTTGTATACGTATACAAGCAACAAATTGGGATAATTCTGACTCGAGCTTATTGACGTGTGCATTTATTTCAACCACTTGCACGACTAAACCAAATACCAGAATATTTTGCTCGTTTAACCGATTTCTTGATTCGCTCGCAAATAATATCGAGCGTTTTTGTTTTTTCAAACACTTTGTTGCTGGTTTTACAATGCCATTTTTTGTTTTGCTGTTCAGTTGTGATTTTTTTGGACTGCGGCCATTTCGGAAGTTCAACATAATAGGCGTTTGATTTTTTTACTTCTTTTTCGGGACGTTGCAGTGTTTATTCAATATAATCAGATACTGCTCAAAAAGCGCAGGACGTGGCTTAATGATATTGGCGTTTATTGCTTCGTCATTGGCTCTTCGACCTTCTTATCGACTGGCGCAGCAATTTCATTGACTGCCGAACGGTAGCAAAATGCACCGAACCTTTCTCGTGCTGCGTTTATTAAGTTGTCAGTGCATAACCTCCTATATACTGAGAAAAAGCCCGGCAGATCGCCACGAGAAGCGGCCGCCGAAATTAAAAAATGTGGAGCGGCAGACAACGGATGAGAGGAAAGCCAGGTGACTGGCGCCCCGCTGCGGCGAGACGCCGAAACACACTTCTCCCGAGCGAACAAGTGTGTTTTGGGTCCTCACCGCTTCAAAAGATGTGCGTTGACTCCCATGTTCCCCGAGAAATGGCTCTTTGATGCTCTGTGCCCAGATTTTCGCCCTTCTAATCTGCGACCGCGCACTCTATGGCTCTGTCGTCGAAATGCCAGGCTTTGTGATTATAGAGGAGGCTATGGTCAGTGCCTATATTATGAAGATATCCGTGTTGGCGGTACACATTGTCAACTCCAGGAAATCTAAATGCTCGTGATATGGTTGATATATCGCGTTCAGAGGCCCGAAATTATACAGGACATTAAGAAAGGGGTCGGCAACGGGGCGCACTCGCCACAAACATTTATTAAAGAAAGAAAAAAACACAAAAAAACATGTTTTATATATTCGTGCTAAAACGCGTAATCACTCGTAAATCCGGTGCAGCCCCTTTCGCAAAAAAGAAGAGCGTATACTCTTTTTATTTATTTATTTATTTATTTATTTTCATACTCTCAATGCCCGGAGGCTCTACAGAGAGGAGTGGGTGGTACAGATGAAATCGTTGACAAGCTTCTTGAAGTATGTGACGTCCTGGATGGACACGATGGAGGCAGGGAGATGGTTCCATTCGCTAGATGTTCTTGGAATAAAAGAGTCAAAATAGATGTTCGTATGACATGTCGGCGTGCCAACCTTACACTGGTGATCGTGGCGAGGTGACACATATAACGGATGAAAAAGTAGTTGATCTTTTAGAATTGGATTAGAATAATAGACTTTATGGAAAAGACAAAGACGAAAGTATTTACGGCGTAAAGCAAGGTCAGGTAAGTCCAAAGTTGTCTTCATTGATGAAACACTAGCAGTACGAGAATAATTAGAAAGGATAAAACGAGCTGCTCGGTTCTGGACTGATTCGAGAATGTGTGATAATGTTACATGACCCGGATCCCAAACGGAACAGGCGTATTCGAGTTTTGGCCTGACTAAGGCTTTATATAATTGCAGTTTGACGGGAAGATTAGCGGAACGAAAATGGCGCCGCGGAAACCCAAGCATACGATTAGCATTATTAGAGACATAGTCGACGTGCATGTTCCAGGAAAGGTTATGAGTTATGTGAATACCAAGATACTTGTATAAAGCAACAGCATCTAATGGTATATCATTAAGGATGTATATGGCAGGGTCAGTGTTTTTAGAGAGTCGCGAAACACGCATGCTTTTACATTTAGTAACGTTAAGCTTCATTAGGGATTCAGCGCACCAAGAAGAAACTACGTCGAGGTCTGACTGTAGTATAGCACACTCTTGGGCATTAGTAATTACGCGATAAAGTACACAGTCATCCGCGAACAATTTAATAGAGGAGACAATTTGCGATGGGAGGTCGTTAATGTAGACTAAAAACAAGAGAGGCCCTAGGATAGATCCCTGTGGTACCCCGGACGTTACAGGAGTAGTAGAAGAATCATGCCCATTGACAGAAACATATTGTGAGCGGTTAGATAAAAAACATTTAATCCAGCCCAAGATGTTAGGATCGATATTAAGTTTACTCAGTTTCAAGAGAAGTAGGTCGTGCGAGACAGAATCGAAAGCCTTAGCAAAATCTAAGAAAATGCAGTCAACTATTAGCCCGGCATCAATGGCAACCATCAGGTCATTAGTAAACGATACGAGCTGTGTTTCACAAGAAAAAAATTTTCGGAACCCGTGTTGACAATTAGTAAAAAAAGAATTGGACTCGAGAAAGGCAACAAGGTGAGAGTAAATGATATGTTCAAGTAATTTACACGGCACACTAGTCAATGATATGGGCCTGTAGTTAAGTGGGGAGTGAGCAGTACCTGATTTATGCAAAGGAACCACCTTCCCTACCTTCCAATCGTTGGGTAACGTGCAACACTGCAAAGAGTGTGAAAAAATTTCGGAAAGAATCAAAGATGAATAGGAGGCGGTGCTCTTCAGGAATTTTGAGTTGATTCCGTCAATCCCAGCACACGCAGAAATTTTAAGCTTCTGGATTAAACAGTCGACACCAAATGAATCAATACTAACAGGAAACATAGGACTGTAATTAGGGCTGAAAACAATGGGGTAACAGGTAGGAGTCGTGTGGGAAAAATAAGAAGCAAACACATCATTCAGGACATTGCAACAATCGTTTAGATCTACAGGAACATTATTCGCATCACAAAGCTCAACCGCACTGGATCTACTACCGCTGACCACGCTCCAAAACTTTCGTGGGTTATCTTTTAAAAGAGAAAAAAGTGTACACTGATAAAACTCCTGCTTTGATTGTGCGACAGCTTGTTTATATTCCGTATCAGCAGCTTCGTAAGCGTCCCAGCGCTCAGCACTTTTTGTCAATTTTGCGCGCCGAAATAACCGTTTCTTTTTATTTCGCAGACGCTTAAGGCGTGCGTTAAACCAAGGTGCCTGTGAATTAGAGCGGATGCGCTTCAGAGGGATGTACTGGTCAGTTAGGTCACTCACTTTTTGCAGATATAATGGCACAGATGCGTCACTAGTACAATCTGCCTTTTTCTTTCCTTTTAAAAAAGTAGCTTTTCAGATATCTGATCGGATTCGTGTCACGAAATGAATGAGTACATGTGCAGCGGCTGCAATGTGTAGCGAGGTGTCCAGAGGGGGTATTTTGTGTAGCCGATGCGTTTTCGCATGAGCACTCATTAGAACATTTGCCCAACTCTGGCGGATGTTCGACCTTCTGACATGGGGTGATCGATTTACCACTTTCGGGGCGCATTCTGTGGACCTGTACATACGGTGTTTCGTGTTACAAGGATCGCTGACCGTACGGAGATAGTTCATTTGGCCAGCATAATCACAATAGCTTATTACGTGAAAAAACAAATTAGGGGTATTTTGCACCGATTATAGTAACCTTTTTAAGGGTTGTGAGTATGTTGTTTTTTCCGAGCCCGTTTTTTTCTTCCGCGCTTTAGAAGCTATCGCGACTAAGTCACCAAATCTACATATCCCCGGATGCTCACAGAGTTTTTTTAGCACCAAAACACCGTAACGGATTCACGCATAGCCTTCCCTATACTCAGAAAACCTGGCAGTTCGACGACGAAGCAATAAAGGGCCCGGTCGCAGATTTGGAGCGCGACGATCTGGTAGCACGAAGCACCAAAGAGCCATTTCTTGGGGAGCTTGGATGTCAGCGCACAGCTTTTGCAGCGACGAGGACCCGAAACACACTTGTTCGCTCGGGAGAAGTGTGTTTCGGCGTCTCGTCGCAGCGGGGCGCCAGTCACGTAGAGATCTCGTCTCATCTGTTGTCTGCCGCTCCACCTTTACCGTTTCGGCCGCCGTTTCCCGTGGCAATCTGCCAGGCTTTCTCAGTATATAGGAGGCTATGGTTCACATAATGCACCACGGAGGTGGTATATAACATTTCCATGTCATGCGGAAGATCGTACATCGGCCAGAGACGGGCAGGTGCTTTAGTGTGAGCGCACGCGTGCAACGGCTAAACAGAATATCCCGTCCGGAGACCTTGCAACACATTGCAGCCGCTCCACATGAACACCGTTTTTCGGTGACACGAGAATTTTAGGCTGCATATATCCCGATGAGATATCTGAGGAGCTATTCGAGGCCTTTGAAATAAGTAAAACAGGCCAGGATTGTATTAGTTACACATCATAAGTTTTTGTTACCATCTTGAGAACCTACCTCTGCTTAGGATTGAATACACGAGAGATTTAAGAGTGTACATTGACTCATCATTTCCATTCAATGAACATGTTTCCAACATCACAAATGCTGCCTATCGGACGCTAGGTGATATTTAGAGAACAATTACTTTGTCAATTTAGGAATTTGATATGTTTTTTTTCTTCTGTTACACGAATGACGCGAACGTTTTGCTTTTCCTCCGTTTTTATTAATATTTGCCTCTTGATGTATATTTAGTTTGTCCCAATACCTGCAAAAATCCCAATGGGATTGGCAGTATTTGGAAACAAATAAACAAATAAATAAAACCTGCAGGGTCTGCTTCCACACAAAGCGCATGGTGGAGCCAATTTCTGCGCTATACGAAAACAACCTCGACGAATGACGAGACTCAGATTAAATATAGACTGTTAGTGCCACAGCGCGGACATAAGCATGTGTTATATTTCATGTGTACCACAAAGAAGACCTTGAGATGTTTTGTGTGACACGTCAAACTAAAAGTTACTACAATTTAAACATCGCCATTCGGCATGGCTCCTCCGGATAGCAGCGATTGTCTGCGCCAGCTGCTTTGCAGGGGATTAGACGCACCGAATGTCTTGGAAGTGTGATCCGGGAGCTTCTTGACAACCAAGCGAGAAATTGACTGCGTTCTTTTGTTTATCGTTTCCATCTTATCCACAGCTGAATGGAAAAACACACACTCTCAATGTTCCCCTATTTCAGGTAAGCCTAAAAAAATCCCTTGGTTCTTTGTAGACTTGTCATTATATAAATCCATCATATTTCGAGCAGTTAACCAATCCAAATGGTAATAAATTGGTTTATTCGGGATCGCGATTGTGTAGGGCCAGTCAGCAATTTCAATGATAGCCACGGACGACCTTTACAAATCACAAATGGTGGCGAGTCCCGTGTCCCGCACAGCTGCAACTGGAAAAGATTAGCGTAATTGACCGAGGACCGGAGCGGCAAAATCGGGACAAGCGGCGCTATTGTTCCCGTGAAACGGTACGTTTCAAAGCGGGGTGATTGGCGGAAAGCAGCCTATTCGAAACCTGCATTTCGAAAGCTATCTTATCTCTCACTTATCGGCCGAGCGATGCGCCAACGTGGTTGCTCACCTTCGACGCAAAGCGTGATCGTACCTGGACACAAAACGCTAAAACTCCCTATGTCGTAGGTGTTCAAACGGTACGCCGCCTCGATCGAGATCACTTACGGGCACCAACGTCCCTCGTCATTGCGATCCTTGCATTTGTTGGGTCGAATGTGTTGATAAGTTTAGGGCGTCTTAAACAAGCGATGTTTTGCCCGTAACGAGCACGGTCACTCAGGGGCTAACTCAAATAATACGCGCTCCTAATCGCGCGAGACTATTAAAAAAAAAAAAAAAAGAAACAACGCTTAACACTTAACGAGCGGAAATGGATATAGAAACCGAAAGCAGCGACCGTGTTTGTTGTTCTTTTCACTCAAAAATGGATCTGTGTAGGCCCGCGCAGTGTTTACGAGCAAGCCCATGGTGGCCCACCCCAGATATGGGCACTGCGCAAGCGCAGGAACCTGATTCACGTAAAGTGAAGCATTTGCGCATGCGCCGTGCCAAGAGCAGCGTCACCGGAGCGGCGTGACGTCAGAACCGCGCTTTGGTCTATAGACCCACTCAAGTCTCTGACACGTTGTGGAAAAACGCGGTCTTGTTTGTAAACACTCTGTTGATGTATAGAATGATTGGTGGCGAGAAGAAAAAATATACACATCTTGCAACTAGCAAGCGTTCTCTTAATTTAGGCCGCTCGAACTAACCCGCTATTTGTCCGTGACAATTGTCGATGAATTGTTAGTATACTGAAACAATAGCTTGGGGTTTCACTCAATGGTACGACTTAAAGAGGTAATCGATTGTGGCCATTTTAAAGCACACGATTGGTTTACTGTGTTGCAGCTATGTAAAACGACGGAAAATCTATTTGCTAGAGACATTTAGATCTTCGCAAAAATGGCCTTTTGCACGCTGCCATCTTCGTCGGCGGGACTGTGGAACGCATTCAGAGCATGCGCTCTTGATCTGCTGTGCGGTATATCAGACCCTGCCCGTGCGTCCACAGCTGAGTGACTCAGCTTTTTTGTTCGGGTGATAAGCGATGCAAATGCCTATATACACTTAATAATAATTGCTTACCTCCCTAGACAAACTTGCTTGGACGCGGGCGCGGCATCTGATATTAGTCGGAGGAGTGCGACCGCTCGTGTACAGAACTGTTCCACAGCCCCCAAGACAGAAGGATGGCAGCGGTCCAGAAGGCGATTACTGGGATAGTCTATACTCCATACTATACACTTGTGCCGCATTCAGACTGGCGTTCCAGACCGGAGCCGCGAAGCTGACCCGCTCGTCTCCATCATCGATTGCGCGTGAAACTGCACCAAACTTCATGCAACCGTTCTTCAATTGCATATAAAACGCTCGGGACTTGTCCCGCGTTCTTTGCGCCGTTAGCGACTATACAGTCATTGTTCTGGAAGGGTTTCTTCGTTGACCGGTGTGGTTGGCTCACTTCGTGTCTGCGGGAAACTAGGTCAGCAGGCAGTGTTTTGACATCGTGCCGCATCTGATGGCGTGTTATGCACTATATAGTCAACGCATGACTTCCCCGGACATCTTATCATAGCTCGGCAGCCAATGATATGGTGGCATCGGCCAGTAGCCACCTAGACGAAAAGGTCTGAGCATGACGTCATAGTTCCTTGACGCTCGACCTGCCCCAAGCGGCGAACACGCTGAAGCTCGACAAGAGTAGCCGCCATGCGTCAGACGCGCCCGTCGCCGCGTATTAGCGTTGCACTTGTGTGGACACGCGGAACGCGGCGACGCTTCGACGGAAGCGTCTGCCGCAGTGCGGCGCTACTCTCGTCAAGCTAGGTGGCACCGCGCTGACCGACAAAGGACGCCGAATAGCGCATCCTAAGTCGAGAAATGTGAACATAATAAGTCGTGTCCTGCGATTCGGTGTCGTATAAGTATAACATTCTGGTTTCCAGAGATGCATTACTGGAAAAATGCGACGCCGTAAGAGTTTCCATGACTCTAACGGCTGGAGGCGCTACGCTGGAAGAAGCGAAAACAGGACCGAAGAATGACGAAATCAAGCCCTGCCCGACGTGGCTCAGAAATAAAGCGCTTTGAGCTTTCGTGGTATTTCATGATCCTGACTCCGTCAAAAAGAGGAAATGGCCGTACGTGATTACACGTTAGAACTTATACAGAGCTTGCACTGACGTCACTTGGTCAAACGTAACACGGGAAAGGGCGCGTGGGAGGGTATAGCTTCCGCTGCGTTAACTTCTGGCCACCAGAAAGAGGGAGGAATTGGGGGAAAAGGCGCGTGAAAGCTTCCAAAGGTTCAAATGAGTTTATTGGCTTAACTTTCATACAGCCGAGAGCCTGAGGCAGCCAAAAGGCAGAAGCCCGTACAACCAAGTACTGGCTGCCTCCACGTCTGTACGTTGCGTTAATAAGGCACTTCTGGAAAGGGCGCACTGATGTCACGTAGAATCTATGTATATAAAGCATATAACGTGGATATAAGTAGTTACATCATTTTATATGTTTTCATGTGCTTAATGAACAAAGTCATGTAAGTGTTAACACCAAGAGGTTGGCATTTATGATCCTTTCGAAGTGTTTTTAAAGCAATTAGAACGCAAAAAAAAAAAGAGGTGATAACAATACTGCGAGGACCCATTGTATGTTCCTATATTTCTATTAGATTTGTTTAAAAAAACGGAGTGATAGTTTCGCGGATAAATCGATTTATTTGCGGGACCCTCGGATCCACCCCATTCGAATTTGCCGCCATGTTCGTTGGGTCGGTGACGTCATGCGCCCAATGCGCCGCGTTTCCTTGCACGCACTCGCAGACTTTGCTCTCTCGGCGTTTCGCACATCAGCTTCCACGTTTACCTTCCGGGTTTCGAGCACAGGGTTTCAAGACGATGACGTCTACGACATTGCTCGCTTCTGTGCGGTCGTCCTGGCTGGAAAGTTTCCCCGTCCAAGGTCATGGATTCACGTGACGTCACGTAACACCCTGACATCACGTGGCATTGCGACGTCACACGTCACGGCGAAGTTGATGTGCAGTGTGATTGCGTGTGGTCCGCGTGCAGTAGAGAGCGCAGCAAACTACGTAACGCCTTGGCTGACAGCAAAATTCACATGCAAAGCGAAAAAAAATTTTGTTTTTAAATATTTTGGAAGGTAAAATTTGTCAGGACGGTTAGATAACGCGCTAGAATGTGCAGTCTTCACCAATAAGAAAGGTCCACTCGTTACAATAGACCAAGGCGGTCGTTGGTGGGGACGCGGCACGGGTTGTCAACTGTTCCATGATGCTCCAAGAGGGGCGAAACTCGACAAAGGGCTGTCCAAAGAAAACGCAATATATGCCGTGCACTCATAATAATGATATATAAAAAGTCCGTGCTGGAGGCTTGGCGTTTGAAAGTGACACTTACTTTACTTTGGTACATTGTATTTATGGTACTTTACTTCAAGTACGTTGCACCCAGTGTACTGAATACTTTACTTAAAGCACATCACGTCTCATTTATTTTGTATTGTACTTGAAGTACATTTTAGATGTACTTTACCCGACACTGTTGGTATATATATATATATATATATATATATATATATATATATATATATATATATATATTATATTATCAATGAAATACAATCAAATATAAGACTACTTGCGGACGACTGCAGTAGTTATAGAGTAATTAATGATTCGAACGAAGCAAATTTTTTACGGGCTGATATTGACAATATTTTAATGTGGTGCAAGAATGGAAAAAATAATGTGAACGTTAGAACACATGTTCACGAAGGATCGACTCGGAAGAAAAGCTCCATTAGCTCTACCCACACAATAAATAATAAAAAAAATTCAGGCTAAGTCAAGCGTAAAATACTTGGGGGTCTGTCTGTTTAGCGATTTAACGTGGAAAGCTCATGTGGAAATGATAACTCTGAAGGCTGTACACGTCCTTAATATTATACGACGAAATTTTCGACAATGTTCATGCAAGACTAAAATATCTTTGTACTTTACGTTTTTTCGCCACTGTATTGAATATGCGGGTGGGATCCCCACCACAGCAGCCTGATAGAAACATTAAAAAAAGTACAGAATCAATTTTCTAGATTTGATTTAAATGAGTACCAACCTGGGGCGAGTGTCACCACCATGATGAATAATATAAAGTGGGAATTGTACCGTATGTAAGTCTGGACACCATGGGCACCGGCTATATATATAGTGACGTGGACCAATAAAAGTCAGCCCTGCTGCTGGAGCCACACTGAGCGGTCATGTCTTGTCTCGTCTGATACATGGCGCAGCCGACATCGAACGCCGAGGGTTCGCGCAGACCAGACTCCAGCGAAACCGGCTCTTGCTCTGCGTGGAAGATGAACAGCCTCAAGCCGCCAGCGGAGCTGCGTCTCACTGGGAATCTCGAAGAGAATTGGCGCAGATTCAAGCAAAGGCTGGACATTTACCTGAAGGCCACGGGATACGCACTGAAGCCCGATGACGAAAAGGCAGCTCTGTTTCTGCACGTCGCGGGAGAGGAAGCGCTGGAGATCTACAACACCTTTGAATTCGCTGAAGACGAAGAAAGGGAAGCCTACGACACACCGGTG